TACTTCCGTCCTAAGTGCAGGACTCTGCACTTGTCCTTGTTGAACCTCATCAGGTTTTTTTTGGCCCAATCCTCTAATTTGTCTAGGTCCCTCTGTATCCGATCCCTACCCTCTAGTGTATCTACCACGTCTCCTAGTTTAGTGTCATCTGCAAACTTGCTGAGAGTGCAGTCCACACATCGCTGATCTTTACACATAGTGCATGTGGGGAGCAGGCTGAGGTACAGCCACAGGGTGTCCTGGTCTGCTTGTGCCACTGCAAAGAATTGCATGGTGCTGCCCTGTGCTACATCTGTGCAGGCTTGCTAGTGCCTGATTGCGTGTTCCCGTGCACCTTTGGCGTTCCTCTTGCAGCTGACACGGAATTTCTGCTCCTCACAGGGATGCTGCCAGCTTGAAATCTAGTCAGTTTCAAAAAAGGAATTTTAAAAAAGTAGCTTCAGGTTCTAAACTTGCCCCCGAATCCTCTGGCCTAGGTTTTTTTTTTTTCTCTTCACAATGATATTTTCCCATTTCTTTTTGAGGTTTGATTTTTCTCTGCCTTTCGCTGTGGGAAAGGCCCACACAAACAACAGAGGAAATTGTCTCTGCGGGGGAAACTGTAATACTGAGCCTGCACAAACCACTGTCAGATGGGAGGAGTGGAGAATTCAGCGTTAATTTTGCAGCTTGTCTGAACACAAAAGTTTTCTAGGTAGAGGTACAACCCTCCTAGGGTGTACTGATAGTGGTGTAAAGATATCTTAGACTGGAATATCTATTCCCATATGGGAAAGGGAATCTCCTGTACTGAATTAAGGACCTTTATACTAGCTGTTGCCACACAAGGGGTTGCAGTGGTTTAACATTCAGTAAGAATCATGCCCCTGCCTGATATAGTTATATCAATACGTAATCTGTGCATAGAGCAGGCCTTATGTATAGGTAAATAAAAAGAATTTCAGACAGAAGCGTGACTTCTAAGTGGACAATGATGCATTTTCTGTCCCTACTGCAGACTGGCAGGAATTGTGCTCATAATACACCTCTACCCCGATATAACATGAATTCAGATATAATGCAGTAAAGCAGCGCTCCGGGGGAGGCGGGGCTGCGCGCTCTGGCAGATCAAAGCAAGTTCAATATAACACGGTTTCACCTATAATGTGGTTAGATTTTTTGGCTCCCGAGGACAGCGTTATATCGGGGTAGAGGTGTAATTTGTATCAGTCTCGTTCTAGTCTGGGCGTTTATGCAAAGATCTTTGGGGTTTGATCATCCTGTAGCAGGTTCACGTGTTTGGGGGGTTCTCCTCCCCCCCCTCCCCCCCCCCGCTTCCCTTTCCCCACCAAGTTTTCTTTTGAACAAACTAAAAAGTTCAGCATGAAATTGGGTAGAAACTGCCCTGAATTTTTAGGTGGAAACAGTCATTTGGTAGTTTTATACAAACCCATCAGCCTGGGGTTCCTTGAGAAAGAAGTTTTATGAGCCCTCTGATCTTGTCTTCACTGGAGTGGGGGGGGGGAGAGATTGTGTTGTTTATTTGATTAGCTACCACAAGGTAGAATGCTAGTGATAGTTTAAACACATGTTTAAATTTTCATACAAGCACCTTGGTGCTTTTCCCCTTTTCTTTGGGAGTTGCTCCCTGTAAACACCTGCAAAGCTACCTCTTTATCCACCTTCAAATTCCTCCTCAAAACTCTTTCCCTTGCCATCATGCCTTGACAGTGGCTAGGCTGATGGTGCCCTGAGACATTTGTCTATCACGCTGACCAACTCTTGTCATTTTCTGGTCCTCCCCGATCTGTCTGGATCCATCTGCTGGTCTCTTGTCTTGTATTATACTTCAATTGGAAGCTCTTTGGAGCAGGGACTGTCTGTTCTGATTGTACAGGGCCTAGCACACTGGGGTTCTGCCCCATGAGTGGGACTCCCAGGCACTACAGTAATACAAATAATAATGAGTTATCAGGTCAATGTAAAGACTACAGGGGAGGGGAGGGTTTGTCTTGATGTGCTCATACATGTGGAAACACACTGCCTTGTCTTCCCTAGGATTTTACCTCGTGTTTGTTCCACATGAAGACGTGCCTTGGAGGGTTTGTTTTGGGATTTTTTTTCTGATGATGAAACCTAAAACCAGGTGAATTCTGGGCGTGATTTCCTTGTGGTCATTTTGCACCAGCTGCCTACTGTTCTCCTGGTTCCCACCTTCCCTGTAAGTTCCTCTGACGAATTTCTTGCCCCCTATCCCCCGCTTTGGCCTTGAAGCACTCAATTTGTGCCCAGCAGCACACAACGGTAGATGGGTGGATTGTTCATTATTCTGTTGTCTTGTGTTTTCCAAAGGATGGGAGTCCATCAGTACCAGTGGATTGACTTAAGTGCCTAAATACAGTCCTAAGAGACCAATTTTAGCCTCCCTTTCCATGTGTTTTGAAGATCTTGGGCTTTTGACTTTCACTGATTTCATAGAGTGTAAGCCAGAAGGGACAATTAGATCTAGTCTGACCTCCTGTATATCCCAGGCTATTAAATTTCCCCCCGTTACCCCTGTGTTGAGCCCAATAGCTTGTGTTAGACTAAAGCATTTTAGTCTTCAGGAGTCTAAATTGTAAGTGTGCCACAAATGGAGAATAAGGTTGCCACTCTCCAGAGCGGTTGCTTGATTCACAAACGCAGCTAAAAACACAGCTTGGTTCCTGTCTGCGCTGCAAAACTGACATGTGCTTTTAGCTGTGTTTGGGGCACAACTCCATTTGTTTGCGTCCCTTGATGTGGTATATTCTGACAGTGGAGCTGGAACTGCACCATATCAAGATGTATTGTACCACAGTGTATTCGTGTGTGCGTGCGTGTGTGTGTTTACTGGAGAATGGGGTCTAAATATCAAATGATTTTCTTTCTGTGTGTGTGTAGTAGATGCAACCTGCAATAAGGACCCCCAGCTTCAGTAGCCACTTCAAAATAATCTCAAGATTTGTCTCTTGCATCTTACAGTTTGTCTACATGGGAAAATGGACTGGTATAGCTATTGCTTTGGAAGCAGATTAAGCCAAACTGAAAAAGGTGCTGCTGCTCCAGAATAAGGCCTGGTCTATACTACCCGCCTGAATCGGCGGGTAGAAATCGACCTCTCGGGGATCGATTTATCGCGTCCCGTCGGGACGCGACAATCGATCCCCGAATCGACGCTCTTACTCCACCAGGGGAGGTGGTAGTAAGCGCCGCCGGCGGGAAGCCGCAGAAGTCGATTTTGCCGCCATCCTCACAACAGGGTAAGTCGGCTGCGATACGCCGAATTCAGCTACGCTATTCACGTAGCTGAATTTGTGTATCTTAAATCGACTCCCCCCTGTAGTGTAGATGTACCCTAAGAGAGTGCACACAGTGAGCTAATCCAGAATAACTAATGCACTTTCAAGTCACACCCTGCTTT